ATAAGGGCTGTGTTATCAAAAGAATAGAGACTAGTTGCCTTCTTTAGTGAAAAGCTATGCGAAACCAGGAAGAAATGGTCCACTTATGATGAAGAATTTTATGCTGTTGTAAGAGCATTAAAGACCTTAGAACACTATTTGATTGCTAAAGAATTTGTCCTCTACACCGACCATCAAGCTCTTAAGTATTTAAGTAAACAAAAATAGTTAAGGAGTGATCTGCATGCAAGGTGGTTTGCTTTTATTGATAAATTCCCATACAAAATTGTGTATAAGGCTGGGCAACAGAACACAGTGGCCGATGCTTTGAGCAGGCGTGTGGCCTTCATCAAGACTCTTAGTATCAAAATTGTGGGCTTTGAATATTTGAAATATTTGTACGCCCAGGATGAAGACTTCAAGCAGGTTTGGGAAAAGTGCATGAATCGACAACCAATAGGTGATTTCTATGTACATGATGGATTTCTTATGAAGGGGGACCAACTGTGCATTCCTTGCATCTCCCTCCGCCAGAAAATCATCAGGGATTTGCATGGAGGCGGCTTAGTAGGACACCTCAGGAGGGACAAGACGATTGAAGCTGTCAAGGGGCATTACTACTGGCCTAAATTGAGAAGAGATGTGACTACTATCGTGAGTAGGTGCTACATATGTTAGACGGCTAAGGGACAGACCCAAAATACCGGCCTTTACAGGCCTTTACCTATTCCTACTGCGATTTGGGAAGACTTGTCTATGGATTTCGTACTAGGCTTACCGAAGACCCCAAGAAACATGAACTCCGTCTTTGTGGTTGTTGACCGGTTTTCCAAGATGGCACATTTCCTCCCATGCAAGAAGACCGCGGATGCAACAGCGACAACCAAACTATTCTTCAGGGAGATTGTCCGTTTACATGGGGTGCCTAAGACCATCACATCGGATCGAGATACGAGGTTCTTAAGTCACTTCTGAATGACCTTGTGGAGGCTATTTGACTCATCCTTGAATTTCAGCACTACAGTTCATCCGCAGACTAATGGATAGACAGAAGTGGTAAATCGAACTTTGGGTAATCTGATCTGGAGCATTTGCAGAGAAAGGCCGAAGTAGTGGGACTTTGTTATAGCGCAAGCAGAGTTTGCCTACAACAACGCAATTCATAGCTCTACGGATAGATCCCCATTTTCTATTGTGTATATGAAAGTACCTAACCATGTGTTGGACTTGATGAAGCTACCCAGGGTACCAGGCCTTAGTACTCCAGCAGAGCAGTTAGCTGGACAGATCCAGTCAGTACAGGAGGAAGTACAGCAGAAACTTCAAAGGACCAATGCAAAGTATAAGCTTGCAGCTGACAGGCATCGCAGGTACCAGGTATTTAACGTCGGTGATGAAGTCATGGTGTTCTTAAGGAAGGAACGCATACCCGTTTGGAAACATAGCAAGCTACAGCCTCAGAAGTACGGCCCATACAAGACTATTAAGAAGATCAATGACAACGCTTACGTAGTGGACTTGCCGGATCACATGGGTATTTCCAAAACATTTAATCTTGTTGATCTTCATCGTTATTTTCCAGAAGCAACGCTTGCCTATCTTGATCATGACTTGAGGTTGAGTTCTTTCCAAGTGGGGGAGAATGATGGAGGGCCAATGCGGGACCCACCGAACCAACCGGCGCCAGCTCAAGATTAGGACTCCTTATGCCAGCCGACCTCGGATGATGGTGGACATCGAACGGTGGGCGTCAAAGGCATTGACATCGGACGACAAGTCACGTTTCCTAGTTGTTTTACAAGTCTGAATTACCTAGTTATTTTACTCTACGAGTCTACNCGACAAGTCACGTTTCCTAGTTGTTTTACAAGTCTGAATTACCTAGTTATTTTACTCTACGAGTCTACCAATGTCTATTATAAATACTTATGTTTCTGAGCTTTAATAACACACAAGAATTTCTTTTATCGCTTCTCTCTCTACTAAGGCTCTACGCCTAGTTCTTTTCGTGAGGCTTCAAGTCCGAAGCCGACTCGATCGTCCGGGTGCTTGTATAGTTAGCCCGATCGAGTGCGTCACGCTGCCTCATAAATGGATTGGACCAAATCCAGTCCAAATCCAAACAAACCAAGTCCAATCCAATCCAAATAAAATGCAAACGGACTAGATTGGTCCAATCCAATCCAAATTGAATCAAATCCCAAAATAACATAAAAAATTTAGAAAAATATATATATAAAAAACTATAATACCTTCTGCAGTACAATCCAATTAAAATATAAATGGGTTGGGTTGGGTCCAATTCATTCCAAATTGGACCAAACACCAAAGTAACATGAGAAATCCAGAAAATATATAAAAAACTACAACACTTGCTGCAATCCATTCCAATTCAATTAAAATCCAAATGGATCGGATTGGGACCAATCCAAGTCCAGTTCATCCTTACTAACAAAAAAGCTCATCAATAACTAAGGGTGTCAACTGGACTAGATTTGGTCCAATCTGATCGGGTCCATTTACAAATGCACCAAATCCAATCCAATCCAAAACCCATACAAGCTAGATCCAAATTGGTCCAGTTAAAATGCAAATGGACTGTATTGGATCCAATCCGATCCAAATTGAATGAAACATAAAAAAATGTATAAAAATTTATAAAAATATATTAAAAACCTGGTGTCTGAACCATCATTGACCCAGACAGTTAGACCATTCAGCTCGAAAGCCATCAAGGCAACCGGTTCTGTTTCACCATTAACCTGTATCTTGGCCAAAAAGCATTAATTTGGTCAATGACCCGTTGACCTGGACGGTTGAACCATCAACCAATTCGACCATTTTTTGTCATTTTTATTTTAATTATTTTTTTATTTTTTAAATTGGAATGGGCCATCCATTTGAATCGAAAGATCAAATCATTGGCCCAAAAACCAGTGGCCAAAGCAATTCCGGTTGCGTATTGGTATTTAAAACATTTATTAAAAATTTCACAAAATATAAAAATGTATCAAAATAGAAAATAAAAAATATAAAAAGAAAATAAATTTCCACAATGATAGATAGGGCTGTTCATAAGAAGGCCCAACCCGACTAAACCGACCAACCAGGACCGACCCAATCCGAGTTGGCCGGGTTTTCATCAGCACAGGTCGGTTTTGGGTTGTGCAAATTCCTAAACCGATGATTCGGGTCGATTTCGGTTTTCACACCGAACCGACTTAGTTCCTAGTTCAAACATGAAGTTCCAAAGCCCATTAGGCCACCTAGTTTTTGAATGGTTGCAAGAAACTTTGGATTAGTGAATARTGATTAATGAACAACTTTTGTGATTAATTTTTCATTTAAATTTTATCATAGGAGATGGCTGAAATGATGTTCAATTTATGACTTTTTAAAATTAGCAAGATTTG